CCCCCGGGCCCGGACCGGGCCCCTCAGGGTTTCCCCGGTTGTTCCAGTCCCCCCCCCCGCACCCCAATGCCCCCCCAGAGCCCGTGGCTGCTCCCCGCACCCCGACACCCGGCGCAACGGCACCGGGGGGCCCTGAGCCCATCGCTGCAGAGCAGCCATGACCCACAGTGGGCTCCTGTGTTGGGTGCGCCGGGGCTTCACTCCCCCCTTCGTGGCCCCCCTGATCCGATTAGTCCTGAATTCCTTCTGGGATTTAGGATCCCGATGGGGATCCGCAGCCCTGGGCTGCAAAAACGGGGCGAAAAAAGCGGAGTTTTGGTGCAGAGCGCTCAGCCCCGTGCTGCACATCTCGGGGGTACCCATAGGAATGGGGCCGATGTACCTCGCTCCGCCCCACAGCCAGAGGAGAGCGATGGAAGTGCCATCCACGACCCATTCATGCGTTCCCTCCCCGGGGTTTCACGCTCCAGTTCCGCTCCCGCTGCGGGAAATGGGGGAAGGGGGGGGGGGGGGGGGGGGGGGGGGGGGTCTGTAGACCTGGGGAGGGACGCAGGGAGAAGGGACAACCCTGGAATTTAAGCTGGCAGGAACTGGGGAGCACAGGTGGGGCTGTGTGGATGCGTGCATGGGGCTGTGCGCTGGATGGAAGCCATGGATTTCAGACGGGAAGGACTGCGGTCCGCGCGCGCGGGGCTGTTAGCAGGGTAAAAGCTGCGGGTTTACGTCGGGATGAACGGGGATGCGTGAATGGGGCTGCGTGCAGGATGCAAGCCGTGGATTCAATGCCGGGAGGTTTTGGGCTGGGGAGAAATGGAGAGCACGTGTGGGGCTGTTGGCAGGGCGCAAGCCATGGATTTGAGCGTGCACGGGGCTGTTTGCAGCCAGGGCTGGCTGCTATTTTTACGCACCACTTCCAAACACGCAGGGCTCTGTGGATTTCCCCACCGTGGAGTTCGAGTACGGGGACACCGACAGCCGTGGCGCAGAGCTGGCAGGTGGGGCTGTGGGGTGGCAGCATCCTGGTAATGAGAGAGAGGAGGGTTTAATTAACGGGGGGGTTAATGACATAGGAGCATAGGGAATGTATAGGAAACAGTGTAAAACCCCAAATCCTGGAGCTGTTTGCGAAATTACTGGGCAAAATGACTCTCCAAAAATTCCTATGTCACTGCAGATGCAATGGGGCAGTGGGGGAGGGGGAGAGGGGGGAAGTTCCCCTAGGAGTGGCTGTAGGTTTCCTGCATGGCTCTGGGTCTCAGTTTTTATGTCACACTGGAATATCCATGCTGTTCCCATTGCCTCATGGCAATGCGAAATGGGATCAAACAGGATGGGTTTAGGATGCCCAAGGGAGTTCTAAAACTTGAACTGTTTGATCCCATTTCGCAGAGCTCAGGAACATTGAGATATCAGCACTGTCCCCATTTGCCCCATGTGCACCCACCAGGAGAGCTGCTGTGAGGCTCTGGCTCCCATTTGGGTTATATCAGATTTTAATGCCACGCTGGGATATCTGCAGTGTTCCCATTGCCCCATGGCAACGTGAAACGGGACTGAATGGATGGATGTGGAAGCGTTAAATGGGAGCCCAGTGCCCAGTGGAGCTTCCAAAGAGAGCTCCAGGACAAGGCTGGGGTTCTGCTCCACATCTTGGGCACATGGGAGGAATTTGGTGGTGATAAGAGGGGTGAAAACCCTTCCGGTAACGGCTGACCCTGTTCCAGCAGAGCTGTACAGCTACACCGAGGAGTCCGAGCTCAGCACCAACCGGCGATGCTTCGAGGAGGAGTTTTGCCCCCAAGGTATGGGCTCTGTGTTCAGTGCCCCACGGCACAGGGCTGCCCCACGGCCCACGCATCGCTCTGTGCCCTCTGCAGCGCGGGGCCGGCAGTGGCCGGAGCTGGACACAGCGCAGCAGAGGGCCCAAATCCTGCGGCTGCTGGAGGGGCTGGAGGTGGTCAGCAGGGAGCGGCGGCTGCGGGCGGCGCGGGCCATCCTCTACCTGGCACAGGGTGAGCACCAGGCCCAGCTCTGTCCCAGAGGGTCCTGGGGGGTCGCAGGGCAGCATTCGCTGACCACATTCCTCCCTGGGCCTCCCCAGGAGTGTTTGGAGACTGTGAGAGCGAAGGCGATGTCCTGCACTGGTCACGGCACAACAGCTTCCTGCTGTACCAGCTGGGCACCTTCAGCGCCTTCCTGGAGCTGCTCAGCATGGAGATCGAGTGAGAGGGCGCCGCAGCTCCCACCTTCCTCACCCTCCTTTTCATCCTATTCTCCTCCACAGCCTCCTCTTCATCTCAGTCTTTTTTCCATCCTCATCTTCCTCTCTTCCTCATCCCTCATCTTATTTTTTCTCCCCATCTTTCACCTTCTTCATCTCATTCTCATCTTCCTCACCCTTATCCTTCCTCACCCTTCATCTTATTCCTCTTCATCACCCTTACCCTCTTCATAATATTATTTCTCATTCTCCTCACCCTCTTCTACCTTATTCTCCTCATCTTCTTTGCCCTTGTCTTCATTCTCCTCACACTCTTCTTATTCTCGTCCCCCTCTTCTTCATCTCCTTCCTTCTTTGATCCTCCTCCACTCTCCTCTTCTTCACCTTATTGTCCTCATTCTCCTCCTCCCTCTCATCTTATTCTCCTCACCTTCTTCGTCTTCCTCTCCTCCCTGTCCTCCTCACTCTCCTCATCTCATCCCTTCTCCTCGTTCTCCTCCCCGACCACCACGGCTGTATTTTGGGAGTGGGCTGAGGATGAGGAGCCGCCCCGCTGAGCTCTTCCCCTTCTCCACAGCAACAGCCAGGCGTGCAGCAGTGCGCTGCGAAAGCCAGCCATCTCACTGGCCGACAGCACCGAGCTCAGGTACCCGTGGTGGCACTGGGATCCACTGGGGACGATGGCTGGGGACCACGTGTCACGTCCCCACCGCGCTGTCCCATAAGGGTGCTGCTCAGCGTCATGTACCTGCTGGTGGAGAACATCCGTGTGGAACTGGAAACGGATCCCCCAGAGTGGAAATCCTGCCGGGAGACCTTCAGGACAGAGCTGAGTGAGCCACGGGGGTCACGGCATCCTTCAGTGGGGACAGCCCTGCGATGGGGACGGCCCCAAGCTCACTCCTGCTCCCTCCCTGCCAGGTTTCCCCATGCGCTCCGATGAGCCCTTCGCTCTCTTGCTCTTCACCATGGTGACCAAGTTCTGCAGCGGCCACGCTCCACACTTTCCTATGAAGAAGGTCTTGCTCCTGCTCTGGAAGGTGCTCCTGGTGGGTGCCCAATTTCCTTTTCCAGGCACTGGGAATGCAGGGGATGGTGGTGGATGCAACCCAGTGCTTAATCCAAGCATGGTGGGGCAACGTCATCGAGCTTTAGATGTCCTTGTAATCGCAGTTGGAGTGGGTGACCTCTCAAGGTCCTTTCCAACTCCAACCATTCCGTGATTTAGGATGGCACAAGGTGAACGATTTCTTTTGGGATAGGGTGTAGAAGAAGGCTGGAGAAATGCTGTGCTTTCTTCCTTCTCAACTCCCCACTTTGATAACCTCCACCTAGAAGCTCCGAATTGCTGCGCAGCCCTGGGGCTCATCCCCTCCCCACTCTGCCACCTCTCTCCTTGGTCCCTAGTTCACGCTGGGAGGATTTGAAGCCCTGCAGATGATGAAGGTGAGAAGGAGGGAGGAGCTTGGGCTGCCACCCCTGCCCGAGGACAGCATCCAGGTGATGCGCAGCATGCGTGCCGCCTCACCGCCCACCTGCTCCATTGAGCTGGCTGAGCAGCAGCAGAAGCGTGGGCACCGCAGTCGGCGGGTAAGGGCACCTCCTTGGGTATGGCCAACCCTTCTCCAACGGGTTTGATCCCATTTTCCTCCCCCTTTTCTAAGCATTTTTCAGCTCATAAAAGCTGAAAAATAAAAAGCTGCTGCAGATAAGCACTGTGAAGCACTCAAGATGGAGGAAGCGAGCAGACAGCCCTGACCCGATGGCAAAGGGCTGATAAGCACTGAGACCAAAGTGCTTGCAGCAAACTCGTCTTTTTTTAGCTCAGTTCCTGGTGTTGTGGTGGTGTGGTCAGAGGATGAAAATGCTTCTTTTGCTGGGGGGGGGGGATGTTGGATGGTAGCTCCAATAATTAAAACGGAAAAGGAGGTGACAGAGAGTTTGTTGTACAGAGAGGGGCTGTTTCTTGTCCAGCGCTCTGGTGGCAGCCATAAGGGAAATTCTCACCCAGGGCACATCTGGGAGTTCAGCCCTTTAGGATGGAGATGTCAGGAGCTGTTGGCTGGGAGGAAACTGGAATCCATGGCGTGACACTGATTTCTCCATCCTCTTCTGCTGCAGCCCCTGATGAAGCAAGACAGCCTGGATATCTACAACGAGAGAGATCCCTTCAAGAATGATGAAACAGGAGTTGATGAAGAGGAGGGTGATGAAGTGGATGGTGGGATCGAGGGGGAGCTGGACCTGATGGAGCGGGATGCTCTCCTCCCTACCATACCAGCCCAGCGTCCTCCTATTGAACGGGTGTCATTCCCCAAAGGGCTGCCCTGGGCCCCCAAAGTCAGGTAGATCGTGGGGTGTCATTGCCATCCTCCCCAGCCCTAGCCAAGTGTGGACAGGGCTGGCCAATGCATGGAAATGCCATGTGGGGAATCCCGGGTGCAATGGGAAGGGATAGGGAGTGTGGGCTGGGAGCTTTCCCAGCCAGCTGCAATGAGTCTAGGTAGGGCAGTGCCCTGGGTTAATTGCGGTTAATGAGCATGGCCCTTATGCACCGAGTGGGACTCGCGTGTGGCCAAATGAAATCTTCTTGAGGGGCCTTGTGTAGAGGGCGAGAAACAGGAGAAACACGGTGCAGCATGAAGGATTGGTGCTATCCCTTCCAAGGCCAGTTCTGCTACATATGATATGGGGGTGGAAAAGAGGGTGAAATCCTCAGTCCCATCCCTCAAATCCACGTGAGCTTTTTGCTGCTGATCTCATCCTGTGAAACACGGGAGCACACACAATGCCATTCCGCTCCACGTCAACATGCTCAGCACTGGTTTTGGTTCACGTTGTTCCCAACCAATGTGAGCGATGGTGGCTGTAGTCAACAGCTATGAATACCTCTAGAAATTGATCCTAGAAAGCTAAAAGTTTCTTGTCCTGCACCATGCTCTTTCTTAGCAGTTCAGATATATGTGCATTTTCCTCCTTGATTTCATTTCTCTGCTGCTCCATCAGGCAGAAGGACATTGAGCATTTCCTGGAGGCAAGCAGGAACAAATTCATCGGCTTCACTCTGGGACAGTGAGTGTCACGTGTGAGGGGCCACCAGAGCCTGTCCCCCAGCTCCCCTCGGTGCCATTTATCTGCCAGCAGGCGTCCACAGAGACTGGGCTGTGTGTGGAATGTGTGATGTTCGTATGTGATAGAAGTGCCCCACATCTCCTCTCCAGTCTTGCAGTCATAGAATTATTAAGGTTGGAAAAGACCGCTAAGATCATCAGGTCCAACCATCAACCCATCACCACCATGTCCCCAGGTGCCACATTGCATGGTTCCTTTTGGAGAAGAAATTGTTCCTAGTAACCTGAACGACCCCTGTTGCAAGTTAAGGGCATACCTCCCATGTTATCTCATCCTAGCCTTGTATTTACCTTCTGCCTTCCCCTCCAGGGACACTGAGACCCTGATAGGGCTGCCACGGCCCATTCATGAGAGCGTGAAGACACTGAAGCAGGTGAGACAATGGCTCTAAGAAGGGATCAGAACAATGGGGATCTCACAGAAATGAGGGAATCTTTGGCCAAGATCACCATGGCCATAGAGAGACTGCAGGGCATCGAGTTTCATATGCAGCAGCTTTGGTGATGCATCATTCACAAAAGGTTCGGAGTTGCTTACGTGCATGCTCTCAGCCCACAGTAAAGGTCTGATGGAGATTCAGTCCTCAGCAAATGCTGTCGTTGCTTGGTGTTGCATCCTGTAGTTGTATCATTGCTCTGCCTCTGTGTATTTTGCCAGCACAAGTACGTTTCCATCTCAGATGTCCAGATCAAGAATGAAGAGGAGCTGGAGAAGTGCCCCATGTCTCTGGTAAGATGTGCTCCCCATCACTATGTGGGCACAGGGAAGAGATGCCACAGAAACCTGTACCTTCTGGTCACACCTCCAATGCTCTCAAACACCACATCGTGACCCAATCGTTAATTCCAATCCCCTAGTTGATAATTGAGGAGATAATAGGGAGATAATTGACATATCTCAAGTGTGCAGACCAGAAATACTTTTTTTCCCCCTTGTTTTTAATGTTTCCCTGTGCTAGGGTGAAGAGGAAGTCCAAGAAACCCCTTGTGAGGTCTTGTATCGAGCCATGCTATACAATCTCCCCCAGTATATGGTAAGCCTGTGTTTCTTAGAAATAAAATAGAGTCTGTGGGTGTTTGGGATCTGAACGCTGGGATTTTGGTGGGAATCCAGAGTAGAGCTGGGTAGAAAGTCATCTCCGAGAGGAGAGTTCCATAGGATCAAGGGGAGCAGATAAGCAGGAGCATGGTCCAGTCTTTGGAGATAGGACAGCAGGCCTCCCTTCCGGCTTTCCTATGGCCTCAAGAGATTCCCACACAACACAATTAAAAAAATTCAAAATTCAGCTCTGTTAAGATGCTTTTTGGGCACCTACAGTCTATCTGTAGGGAGAGACAAACATTTAAACACATTAAGATGCAGTACTTTTATCCGTACCACTAGAGCTCGGTGCATCAACTCAGTACAAAAGGTGAGCTGCCCTGCTGCCTGCAGTTGGGTACAAAAGGAGAGCTGCGCGTTGGCATAGCTGGCCCATCACCATGAGTGAACCTTGGGCTGGTGGAACCTTCTAGAGCTGGCTTGAAGTTGTCCAGTCTCAAGGAAAAGGAAGGGATTCCATTCCCCCTTTGCCTCCACACCTACCTCCTCTGCAGATCGCTCTGCTGAAGATCCTCCTTGCTGCAGCACCCACCTCCAAGGCCAAGACTGACTCCATCAACATCCTAGCAGATGTCTTGCCTGAGGAGATGCCGTAAGTCCTCAAGGAGATACCTCCAGCTGTTTCAGCCTTGGACCAAGTAGGAAAGTTGGGGGTTGCAAAGAGGTTCAGGGGGCCCCAGAGGTGGGCACGGAGCTCCAGATGTGGGAATGGCCGCATGGTCCAAGGATTGGGTCAGTGATGGTCCCATCAGGTTGATGGTTAGCCTTCATCTTCCTCCACCGCGCCAGCATCACCGTCCTGCAGAGCATGAAGCTGGGGATTGATGTGAACAGGCACAAGGAGATTATCGTGAAGAGCATCTCGGCACTGCTGCTGTTGCTCCTCAAGCACTTCAAGCTGAACCATATTTACCAGGTGAGCACCGAGGAGGCACGGTTGGTGCTCATGGGGTTGGTGCATCCTTACAGGAGCTCTCCAGGAAACGTTTCCAAGAGGAGCTGTGGATTGTAGGGATGAACCCTTGCCCTGGGACATGATTTTCAGAGTGTTACTCATGCAGAAATAACCTGCCTGCAATACATCTTTGGCTGTGTGTTGACAGGGTGGTTTCCACTCATGTGGAAAGAGCTCTTGGATTTGTGGAAGAACACATGCTGTGGTTAATCAGGTTAGAATTCCGGAGATCTCGGGAGAAAGAGCCTCTCCTGGCAGCAGGGGTGGGGAGGAGTTAGGCAGGATCCCTCCTGCTCTGCCCAACCTCCAAGACAAGCAGTTGAACTCTCAGAGCTCTGGTTTCAGTAGAACCAGCTCAGGGTCCTAGATGCAGTTTGATTTGTGTTAAAATTTTTCTTTTTCTTTTTTTCCTTTTTTCTTTCTTTCCTCTTTTTTTCCTTTTTTAATTTTCTTTTTTAAAGAGTTTTCTCTGTGATACAAACCCATGCATGCTATGAAACATATAGAAGGATTAACAGAAATCCATGTATTGGATTGGATTGGATAGAATAAAAAAAATAATACATTCTTTTCCAATCTTACCTTTGTTCCACGTTCCCCTGTATCCCAGTTTGCATTCAGTCCCTTTTTTCACACCAAAGCAGCTCCTTGCATTTCTTCTCCCACGTGGCAGCACTCCTGCAGACCACTGTTAGGTCTGGAGAAGGCGTGTTGTTGGGTTTCTTTAATTTTTTTCCCCTTAGTTCTGAATTTGGGTTAGCTGTCCAAGCTTCTCAGGCCGCTGGCTGCTCTTTGTGATGCTGATCTGTGCAAACTGGTCTAGGGAGTCTGCTTTAGCAGAGGGGTTGAAATAGATGATCTCCTGAGGGCCCTTCCAGCCCCTACATTCTGTGATCTGTAGAAGCCAGAAGGGAAGTTACCCCATATCTTTTGTAGTAGTTAATCTCCTCCTTTTCCTTCCATATAGAACATTTTCCAACAGCTTTTACCTTGAAAGGCAACCTGCAGTCGCTGAGTGCACCTCTTCCAAAGTCTTGCCATGAAATTCTGCATGGCAATGCACTTTCCCAGCTGCTGGGAGTCATTGTATGCAATGCAAGCCTTACACACAGCAGACTTGTGCACAAGATGGTCTGCCAGGTTCAGAGCAAACCATCCCAACTGGAAATGGCAATTCCCAGCACGTGCTTCCAGTTGTTCCCGTTGACGCTGACCCGTTTCACTTCTCTCCCCCAGTTTGAGTACGTGTCCCAACATTTGGTGTTTGCCAACTGCATCCCGCTGATCCTGAAGTTCTTCAACCAAAACATCATGTCCTATATCACAGCCAAGAACAGGTACAGCCACACGTGCGATGGCCAGGGAAGCTGCAGTGGGAAATACGGCACGATGCTCGTACAGTGCGTGGCCCTGAACCCTCTCCATGCCAGATGCTTTCCCCAAAAAACCCCATTTATATATATAAATAAAATGTACGTGTAGAGAACATTTTATTATTACACACATATGTTATATATTAGATATGTGTACGTTTGAGGGTTTTTTGGTAAGCTAATCTTACAAAGGCAGTAGACCCAGAAGGCTTGGAAATCTTTTTGGGCAAGCCTCGATGCCCTTGCCACGCATTATCTTGCTGATAACATTCTTGCTGTCAGATATTTCCATTTTAATCTAAAATTTGCTTTTTGTATGAGTGGGTTTTTTTGTTTGTTTGTTTGTTTTGTTTGTTTGTTTGTTTGTTTGTATGCACACAAATAACTGATCTGCCATGTCATAATGGATCCACCTCCTCCGAGTCCCCACTAATGCATGCCTGGGAGCAGGGAGGGCTCCGCTCGTTAGGCCCACGTGCCGACTGTCCTTAATGAGTCTGTTCTTTCTCATCTTCCACAGCATCTCTGTCCTGGATTACCCACACTGTACAGTCCACGAGTTGCCTGAGCTCACTGCAGAAAGCCTGGTAAGCAAAGCAGAGCACTTGTGACAGTATTGCTCTATGCAGGCGGGCAAGGAAGGGTTTTTCTTTTATTCCTTGTGTTCTTTGCATCCAGCCAGCCCCTAAAATAGACCTTTTCCTGGATAAAGACTTGAAAATTTCTCTCCTTGCTGCTGCTAAAATCTCGAGCCTCTGTTGTTTTCCTTGGCTGTGAACACGTTGCAATCATAGAAATAAAGGGAAAGGCTTCCTATGGTTTTGATGAGCCAAAGTTGGCCCGATGGGGACATCTAGTGACACGTTGTGAGCTCTGGTGGCACACAGTGTATTTTTTCCTTTTATTCTTGTTTCCTTTTTTCCTCTCCCCTGTTTCCTCTTTTTCCTTTTTTTTCCCCCTTTTTTTTTTTTTTCCCCTTTTTTTTTCCTTTCTCCCTTTTCCTTTCTCCTTTTTTTTTCTTCTCCTCCCTTTGTCCTTCTTTTTTTTACCCGTCTTTTTATTTTTACTACTATTTTTTTTCTCCTTTTCTTCCTTTCCTTCTTCACTTCCTTGTTTTATTTATTGCCTCCAGGTCCAGCAATGACGCCAGGTCTATTTCTATAAAAATCCAGTGCCCATTTATAGAAATCAAACACACCTTGGTTCTTCAGTGACGTCTGTGCATGTAGTTTCTGTTCCTTAGCCAATATTTTATGCTGTTTTTCGTTTGTCTTTACTCCGATGCACTGATTTAACATCACAGCCCTAACACATTTCCTAGCAGATGTGACAGATGATGATGCTTTCAGGGGGATGCACACAGGAGGATGTGCTTGGTTTGCTTCTGTGGAAAACTAGGACATGCTCACCAGTGCTGTTTCCAGAGTAGGGATTGTGGGAACTGCTGCTCCTACACAGGAATGGACAAATAACTCAGCTGCAGTATCCAGAGGTGGTCGTGTTGGGAGAAGCCTCCTGCACAGCCATGGCCTCTGATGGCAGAAAAGGGCATTTGCTCAGAGTGGCTTTCACCAGATCCCAGAATTTAAGTGCCTCCTATCAGCAGATTCCTTCTTTTTTGGCCTCCAAAGTATGATACGCGTGCCGCTGCTTTCGCCATTGCTTACTGGGATGGTATGGTTGGTGCTTGCCTTTAAGAACAAAGACATCATGCTGACAGCATTTTCTTGGGTAAATCTTGTTTTCCGACACTTCCATCAGTGTCTAATCACACTCTCCACCTGAGGATGCCCAGAAGGTGGAACGCTCAACAGGCTGTGATTTTTTCCAGTGGTCATTAAGGCTGTAGCTTGCTGTAAGTGGCCTATAAAATAAGTAGCACTTGTTTCTGCTCTTACCCAAATAGGTTATTTGTGGGACTTGAGCCAGTGCTCAGCGCTGTGCAAGCAGAAACCAAGTGGCTGTGCTGATGGAATTAGTGCTCAGATGTACCACGGGCACCACTTCCACACACTGGTGCTGGGGGTGCTGACATGCAGCTCGTATTTAAAGTAATGCATGGGCTACACTTAAGGTGGAGAGGATCTTTGCTATAGAAAAATCTTGTTCTCCCAACAGAAATGTTGCTGGTTTCCATCCTTCATTATTTTGTCATTTCTTCTTATTTATCTGTACTGTCTTCTAAGCATGTAGTAATTTACAAATTGATTTATATAATTGGCAACAAAATGTTTGCTAAGCAGTGATGACTGGGCTGTAATTTGCTTGGCAGACAATCAGTACAAATCTCCTAAAACACACGTTTCCCATGGCAAAGCAATGTGATTTCTCTTGGATAACACTCTAAACCGAAGCACAAATTAAAGCACTGAGGATTCTTTCCAGAAGGGTTTCCCTGTCTCCACGTGCCATCGGCAGTGTGATGGTGAACCCTCAGGCTTCTGCTTTCCCCTCTTTGCTTGCAGGAAGCTGGAGACAACAACCAGTTCTGCTGGAGAAACCTATTCTCCTGCATTAACCTGCTGAGGATCCTCAACAAGCTGACCAAGTGGAAGCACTCGAGGACAATGGTAAGGAGGATCACTGTAGTAAAGTTGCCAAGGAGGCAATTTGTCCCTTCATCCAAGCCACTGATGAATGAGTGAAGCCAATGTGGACAACAGGGGACCCAGTGTTGACATCTAAGGACAAAGACCAGTTCTTTGTCTTCCACATGCTTTCACAAAGTGGTGCCGCCCGGAGCTGTGCAGGCAGCAGCATTTCCACTGTTTTGTTGAGCTCCCTGCGCTGATTTCCAATGCCTTTTCTTGGCAGATGCTGGTAGTCTTCAAGTCGGCCCCGATACTGAAGCGAGCTCTGAAGGTGAAGCAGGCCATAATGCAGCTGTACGTTCTCAAACTTTTGAAGATCCAGACCAAATACCTGGGGCGCCAGTGGAGAAAGAGCAACATGAAGACCATGTCGGCCATCTACCAGAAGGTGCGGCACCGCATGAACGACGACTGGGCGTATGGCAACGGTGAGTTGTGCTGGGAGGAGTCCTGGTCACGAGCAAGTTTAGCCCTAGGGCCTGCTGGAACGCTATAAACTCGCTTGGGCCAGCACCTGGGTTTTCTTTTTCTGAAGCCTTAATGCACCATCAGGAGGGAACTAATTGCATGAGGAATAATCGGATCGGGATGGGATGCAGTCAGCTCGGGTCTCCATGATGAGTTTCTACCAAACTCAGGCCTCCATTTCCATTTTTCCAAATTGACTGCTTTCACCACTGAGGCACCAAACTGTTCTGCACCAAACTTGCATGCCTGGGATGGCCACAGAGGGGAAATCCAAGCAGTTGGCCCCATCCTTCACACCGGAGAGACGATGTTGGTTACAGCCCAAGGTTGTGAATCCGTAAGCTGAAGCACAGGCTGGACATGCTGGTCTGTTTAAACAACAATTCTGTGCTCTAAATCTGTATTTTTAGAAGGCTTTTCCATCCTTCGAGCGCTGCTGAGACCTTGGCATGAATTTTTAAAATCTTTATGGAGCAAATGATTCGTTCATGTAGAGCTAGAGCTCCTAAAGGCCAAGTATGAAACACCGCTTTTTTGTGTTTACACAATATTATCATATTTAAAGTACTGTGGTTATTACAGTCAATTGTTAGTTTTCCAACACTGTTAAATTTGCCCAAATTTTCAATTTTTTGTTTTTTTTTCAATAGGCTACAATGAACTTTGTGATGTTTTAGCAGCGTGCTTTAAATCTTGGTCTCTCCTTTAGAAGTCTGTGGAGATTCTGAGTAGAAGTGATGAGGCCTTTCCAAACAAAGTAGCTTTGTAATTGCACAGAGTCCTCAAAGCAGACAACAGAAATAACTGCATTTCTACAGGCAGCTTTCTAACTCTGCTTAATTTACAAGCGATTTTAATGTGTTTCAGTTAATTACTTCAAATTAAAATGCTTGCATAATGGGAGCTCGCTATGAATAATTATCACAGAATTAAGAACAACAAACTGGTGAATAACACAAGTGTGTGATGCTGTAAAGCCTTCATCCTTCCTTTTGTTCAAACCTTTTTTTCCACCATGCTACGGTCTTGCTCGATCTTAAATCTAGATATTGATGCGAGGCCGTGGGACTTCCAAGCTGAAGAATGCACACTGAGAGCCAGCATCGAAGCGTTCAACAGCCGGAGATACGACAAACCTCAGGATTCAGAGTTTGCACCAGTGGACAACTGCCTGCAGAGCGTGCTGGGGCAGCGGCTGGAGCTCCCCGAGGACTTCCACTACTCCTACGAGCTGTGGCTGGAGCGGGAGGTGTTTTCCCAGCCCATCCGCTGGGAAGAGCTGCTGCGCTACCAGTGAGAGCCACCACGTCAGCCGTCCCGTCCCAGCAGGGACTCCAGGTGCTACACAGCGAGGAAAAGAAGATCATTTTAAGTAAAGCTGGAAGAAAATCACCTTCTTAGAGCATCCAGGCCTCTCTGTAACCATCCAGACACCTCAACTCTCGTTTTCTTGGAGGTTTTCCCTTTGTTGTGACCTCTTGGAGGCCATGAGGTACCAACAGAGCTGTATGGAGGCTGAGGACCAGGTTCTGGCATCTCATTCAGGAGTGGCCTCACCTGGTTTTCACTGCAGATTTACAACTGTGTATGAGAGATCTGAGCCTGTGCTGTCCCTTAGCTCGTTAAGTCTGTTGTAAGGGTATCTGAGCCTTGATAAGTCTTCATCTCACCCAGATGCCTCAAGCTGAGCTGATGTGTTTTCATTTGTTCATTTATGATGATGTGCTTGAAGCACCACACTGCTATGATGAAGTAAAAAACACAAAATAGGTGGCACCATCTGTGACAGTCCCAAGTAGAGTTGGATGACTTGGCCAAAGGGGATGACATTACCACTTGTCCCCAGGGCAGCATCACTGCTGGGATTGTTCAGCAGATTTACACGGTTTTTGCATTGGTCACTAGGGATAGTAATGCATTTACCTTTACCATTGCTCCACTTCCTTCACCCCTCTGCTCATTGCTAGGAGAATAAAATGAACAAAGAGCTTGCAGGGCAAAGAGCTTGCAGGGCAAAGAGCTGCAGAGGAGGTTCACTGCCATGTTTCTCTCTACCTGCTGTAAGTCCAGAATTATTGGCCCAGAAGTTACTGACTCATGCTATAGGATGTCTACACATGACACAAAAAGGCTTTTTTTCTCATCAAGCAAGATGCTCCATTAAAAGTCCATACAGGGAAATAAAATGCAGCAGGCTGATTGTTTCTGAAAGATAATTACTGCAATGTTAGGTTTCCAGAGAGCTTTCTTCATTGCTCTTTACCCTTTGCAGCCCTACAGGAGACAGTCTTCTGGAAAATAACCTGATTTTTGCACGGGTTTTTGGTTCTCTGGGAGGATGCTTGTGCCAAGTCTTAAAGCGGGAAGGAAGAGTGCTTTAGGTACCACTTTGCTGCCATCATATGACAGAAACAGCAGATGGTGCAGTCCAGAACGTTCAGACTCACACAACGAGCTGTGAGTATGGTGACAGGGTATGAAAGATTATAAGAGATGAAAGATTATATCTTTTTCTACAGAACGTTGTCAGCCATGCACAGGGAATCCTGGTCTAATTTTTCCTCCCTTATGAAATCAGTTTGTCAAAGAAAAATGTGTCAATATAGTGCAAGCAAAAGTGGGTTTCTCCCCCGCTGTGCTGCTACCGATACAGTGAGCATGCAGATGAAACCACAGGTGTTTGTCATGGCAGGATTTGTGCTTATTGCTGTGGAATTGAATTGAGAATGTTTCCTTGATGTGGTTTGCAAAAGGCACTTTTCAAAGAGCTGCCATTAGTAAACCCGCTCACCCTTTTTAAAATGCTTCTGTTCACAATAAACCAGAGTGACTTTTCAAGTCTGTTCATTCACGTGAACTTTTTTCTTTGTGCACCTTAATTTACATCCTAATTTTGGTTGGTTTTATTTCCTTTTAGAACTCTCCCTTCAAACTAACCCAAGAAGTCAGGTCTGTTGCATGTGTAAGTGGTAGAAATGCAGCTGTTATGTGCAATCATAGAATCATAGAATCACCAAGGTTGGAAAAGACCTAAAAGATCATCCAGTCCAACCATTCACCTATTCCCAATAGCTCCCACTAAACCATGTCCCTCAACACAATACCACTGGCTTCAGCCCCATGCTGCAAATACAGAGCCCAGGACTAGCAGGACAGCTCAGAATTTTCTCTATGATGATTTCTCTGATTTTCCTACCAGATGTGCAGCTTTCCTCATTTCCCTGCAGGTCAGCATCTTGTAGCTGGGATTACTGAACTCACAAACTTAGAAAAGCCTTTTGTATTTGCCTCTAAACTTTTTTTTTTGGTCTCTTCCCTGCATTGTTAGTGTAGGTCCTGGTTATTCTGTTTGACGTAAGGTTCATTCTTCTACCTTTTGTATTTAAACTGCGCTTCATGTGAGGGTTCCACAGCTTACCATGTTTTCTATCTTTACTGAGAATGGAAATACAAATTCTCGACTGAATCTCTGTGTGGTAGAAAGGTGGAAATAACTGTAATGTTTCAATACTATTTCCACCACCAAACAAAATGAAGCTCTGTAGACATCCCCTTATGTGAAAACTGAGCCCATGTGTAAAAAAAAAAGTAAACAGGAGAAGGCAGAGCTTTTAAGTTAAGTTCTTTTACCCCATCATGGCTTTATCATGCTTTTATTGAGGCAGGCCATGCTTTGGAAGGTGATGAAAACCACTGTTCTCACTGCACTCTGCAAAGCAGCTGTGGGGCTGACACACCAGTTTAACAGGAATAGGGGGAACCTCTTATTCTAGTTACAACCAGATGTGGGTCAGTCAAACAATGCAATAAGCTCAAGACTTTCCCTCAAGGTGTTTGAGCACTGAGGCCCCTCTGGAAAACTCTCTTACCAGCACTTCTGAGCCCAAGGTGCTGCTTCTCCAGCAGTGCTAGGAAATATTTCATCCTGAGCAATTGGAAATTCCTCCCCCCTCACAGTGGAGGTTTCCATCTCCCTAAAAGAGAGGTAGGAGGTAGCAGTTATGGGAGAATCATTTTCACAGAATCACAGAATGGCCAGGGTTGGAAGGGACCTCAAGGATCATGAATCTCCAACCCCCTGCCACATGCAGGGCCACCAGCCTCCACGTTGAATGCTAAACCAGGCTGCCCAGGGCCCCATCCAACCTTGAACACCTCCAAGGACGGGGCATCCACAACCTTTCTGGGCAGCCTGTTCCAGCACCTCACCACTCTCTGGGTAAAGAATTTCCCCCTGATGTCCGACCTCAATCTCCCCTCCCTCCTTTTGATGCAGAACAAATGAGTTTCAGAGCAAAGTTTCTCATAGCTTCTGTGCAGCTGAGGGAACCATATGTGTTACCTTACCCCGAACACAGCTGTTGGTTCCAGGAACGGCTGCATGCTCAGTTTCTGTTGCAAACATCATGCAGAGCTTTTTCTTCAACCTACAGGTGGCTGCAAGCTGTCTTCTTTACTGCCTGAAGATTCTTCTCCTGTTTTTAGCCTAATTTCCTAGGGACAGAATGGGCAAAGACCTTACAAGCAGCTTATGAACAGGTTAGCCAACGTCATGCAAAGTCGAGCAAAGGATAAAAGGCCTCGAAGACATTCCCTAAGTTCCCTTGAAGAGTTGTGAAAGTTGACAGCTGGGTGGGGGGGGGAGACCCCATTAAAGTCCCAGCCAAGGCCCCCAGTTGCCCTAAGGGAAGGGTGTCATTAATTCCACAGCTTATGGAGCAGCTTATAATGACAGTGAGAAGTGTTGGCCTGCCAGCTGCCAGAGCTGGTGCACTCTTTATATATCAAACTGTAACTACAGCAGTGACTGTATGAGGTCAGGCTTATTATCCTCCCAGTTTGCACAAACTTCCCTTAATTATTTATCTAAAGCCTTGCATGTGCAAACAGCAGCTTGTTTTTCTTAGCCAGGTTCAAACGTGTTTATGAAAACCAACAGCTGAGTTCATGGGATTTCAGAGTGCTCAGTCTAATATTGCTGACACAGTTGTCATTAGTGCTACTTCTTTCTACCCTGAGTAGTTAGAAAAATGTATCTTGCCAGTTGTTTTTGCTAAAAGGAGATAATTATGATTGCTTCTTTCATGCCACGTGGTTTGTTAATAAAAATTAAACATCATTTTTTTCTATTAACATTGTAAAAATATAAATTTTTGTGTTATTTATCATTTTTCATTCATGATTTCTTTTATTATCTCCAACCCTCATTCAGAACTGCTCTACTTAGAAAGTCTGCAGAGTGTGTTCCTGAACCACACCACCACATCCTTTCCTGTTTTCTCCTGTCCTTTTTGGCTTCTTCTGATTCCTTTGAGCTTTCCCTCAGCACTGAAAGTTCTGGCAGGGCTGTTTCCACCTCAGAAAGCAAATTGCTCCAGTTACTGCGGCCTTATACAGGCAGGAATGGGAGAGCAGCGAGCAGCACAACAAAGAATGGGAGTTGAGCCACCAAAAACACAACACAGCCATGCCCTGTCCATCCAATACTGAAGGCCCTGCTCCTATTCAAATGGCAAGGAACTTCTTAAGCTTACAATACACGTTCTGCATCACCCTGACAAGCTCAGTCTATGTAACAGTATCCCTCATTTTCCTTTGCCACTCAATGCCAGAAGTTCATCACTGAGTGTGAACAGGGAGATAAGGTGCTCATCGGTGAAGCCTGATACTCCCACTGATCAGAAAGCGATTCTCTTTCTCTCATGCAACAAAACCTTCTGGATCCTGCAACAGAAAGAAGCATTGAAAAAGTTAGTGTCTTCTAGAGCAAAGGAGACACTCATGAGAAGTTTAAGAATTGGAAATGTATGGTTGCAAGGTCTTATCACTTACCCCTGAAAACATGTAATGTGCCCAGATTACAAGAGAGGTGTTTCCCCATTCTGTACTGCACCATATTCACAGCACCGACATTTGGATGACATTGAGGTGTCGAGTGGTGACCCTGTTGTCATTTCCAGCGTTCCCTGGTCTCACTTCTCCACTCAGCTGGGCTCAGCTTTCCCTCTTCATCAAAGGGACAGTCATTAGACCTGTGTTAATGCATCAGAATTACTGCTAGGTGAATCTTTTTGGATTGAAATTTGTTAATCCGTGGCATATATATCCATACTGTGGATGTTATTAACCACTACATAGATGTCTTTTGGATTTCTTTTGGTCCAAAAACATCCCATTTCCCTTTAGTTTCAGAATGAATGAATCTATTTTTACACAAATGTACAAAGAGAAGTGAATCTTAAGAGACATATACTGGAAAAAAAAAAGATGTGACCCACCACACCGGGGACAGAACATGATGACAGAACGTAAAACCAGTGGCCTTCTGGACACTAGAAACTTGTTTTATAGCCTCTGTGTTGTTTTCATGAAACTTGCAGGAAATTAATATATTTGAATCTTTGTGTCAGACTTGGTCAGAATCTGTCAACTTTTGGTTCAAAAGTTATGGCTGAATGGATAAGAGGCAACCCATGTGGCAGTGAAACCCCCTTTCCTTAGGAAAATGTGTTAAAATCAGCAAACCTCCAAACTCCTACCTGATATATTGAAGATAAGCTTGAAAATATGATAAGGCACATCTTAAAGGGTTATGGGCAAGAAAGTTTAAGAATGTTTAAGAAAAACAGAACCGTGATTTAGGAAGCTTCTTTGAAGTGCTGGGGTTTGGCAGTGGTGTGATCAAGAAGTGTTATTTTCTACTTTTTTTTTTTTTTTAATGAGATGATTCATCTCTTACTGGTATTTGCCACTTGTGCTTTGGACTCTTGTCACTTTGCAGAAGCTTGGTGCTGTGAGACATGGAACAGAAACCACCTCCCACCCTCTCCCAAAACCAAAACTAAACTAACTAAATAATAATTTAAAAAAAAAAAAAAAAAAAAAAAAAAAAAAGAAGTTTGTAAAAAAAGGATTGAAAACAGTCATTCAGATGCATTCCCCTGTTTTGATCAATGTCTTCATTAATGATAAGGGTGATGGGACAGAGTTTACCCTCAGAGTTTGCTGATGGTACGAAGCTGTGAGGAATGGTTGTGGCACAGCAGAAGGCTGTGCTGCCATTCAACGACACCTGGACAGGCAGAGCTGGGCAGAGAGGAATACGATGCAGTTGAACACAGGCAACGTAGGGTCCTGCACCTGGGGAGGAATAACCACACGCATCAGTACAGGCTGGGGGCTGCAAAGGAGCCCTGAGGAGAAAGACCTGGGGGTCCTGGTGGCCAGCAGGGGGACCGAGAGGCAGCAGTGTGCCCTGGTGGCCAATGGGACCCTGGGGAGCCTTCAAGAGCGTGGTCAGAAAGACGAGGGCGGCTTTCCCCTCTGCTCTGCACTGGAGGGCTGTATCTGGAATCCTATGTGCAGGGAGGGGCTCTCAGCACCAACACAAATCACAGAATCACCGAGGTTGGAAAAGACCTACAAATCATCCAGTCCAACCGTCCACCTATCACCAATAGTTCTCACTAAACCACGTCCCTCAGCACAAAATCCAAACGTTCCTTGAGCAGGCCCAGGCTCGGTGACTCCACCACCTCCCCGGGCAGCCCATCCCAGGGCCTGACCACTCAGAAAAGTAGCATAAATCTCCCCCGGCGCAGCTTGAAGCCACAAAGGAGAGGATCTGCTCCCCCAGCACTACACAGCCCACGCCGAGGCCTCCCGCCCTCAAACACACAAAACCGGAGGCTTTTTTTTTTTTTTTGACTCCGTTTCCCCTCAGGGCCTCCGCGGAACGGTTTTCCCGCCCTCCTCCTGAGGCGACAGTTAATGACTTCCCGCCCCGCTCTGCGCATGAGTGGGCTGAGGTGGCGGGGCCTTGGTTCCTTTCCTTACGCATGCGCGCAGTGAGGATGGGTGCTTGGTGGCACTTCCGCTTTTAATGCGCATGCGTAGCCTGAGGTACTGGGTTTGCTGGGACTTCCGCCTTTCGCTGCGCATGCGTCAGTTGAGAGCGCTGGGCTTGTTGGGATTTCCGCCTCCTAACGCGCAGGCGTGAAAGTGGGGGAGGCGTGGCGGGCGCCATGGCAACGCGTGGCTGAAGGGTGGGAGGTGGTTGCGAAGGGCGGCTGGCATCGGGATTGGGATCTGGGATTGGAATCTGTTCACTGCTTGGGGTTCACAGGGACGGGGATTGGGGTGGGGTTGGGGATGGGGAAGGGTATGGAGGTGGGGATGGGTAAGGGGGTGAGGAAGGGATGAATGTGGGGATGGGTATGGATGGAGGTGGGGATGGAGATGGGGAAGGGAAAGGGGAAGGGGATGGAGGTGGGCATGGGTATGGATGGAGGTGGGGATGAGGATGGAAGTGGGGAAGGGGATGGAGATGAGGAAAGGGATGAAGGTGGGGAAGGGGATGAATGTGGGGATAGATATGGATGGAGGTGGGGATGGAAATGGGGAAGGGGATGAGGATGGGGATGGAGGTGGGAATGGGGATGGATATGGACGTGGGGATGGGGAAGGGGATGAAAGTGGGCATGGGTATGAATGGAGGTGGGGAAGGGGAGGAAAGTGGGGATGGCGATGGATGTAGGTGGGGATGACGATGGGTGGAGTTGGGGATGGCAATGGAGTTGGGAAGGGGATGGAGTTGGGAAGGGAATGAAGATGGGAATAGGGATGGATGGAGGTGGAGATGGATGGGGAAGGGGATGAAGGTGGGGATGGGGATGTATGGAGGTGGGGGGGGGGGGGATGGATGGAGATGGGGATGGGGAGGGAGATGGGATGAAGGTGGGGAAGGGGATGAAGGTGAGGATGGGGATGGATGGAGGTGAGGTGGGGAAGGGCAATAAGGGGGTGATGGGGATGAGGATGGAGATGGGGATGAAGGTGGGGAAGGGGATGAAGGTGCGGATGGGGATGGATGGAGGTGGGGATGGGATGGAATAATCCCAATGCACAGTGTGTAACTGATGGCATGGCTGTGTGTTGCAGGGTCCTGCCTCGGGGCTTGGTGTGGAGTGCTGCTTGCTAGAAGGACTCAGCCATGGTAATGCAGGTTTGGTTTTTCTGAAGGTATTGGCTCTTTCTTGATGTTGACAGACAACAGGCTGTAAAGTTCTGCATACCTTTTAGAAAGAGCCAAATCTGGTTGCTTGTAGGTGATGGCAAATGCCACACAAACATAGATATCTTGATACTTACAGAGTTCAGTTGTCACGCTTGGTTGTATGGGATGAATGGGACATTGTTAGGAACTCTCATCTGCCCAAATGTTGCCTCTGCATGCCAAAAAAAAAGAGCTGCTTAGCTTTGGTTGCCTGCTAAACCCATAAGGAACACCACAGCTGTTGGCTGGCATGCCAGACATTAGCTGTGACTCTGCTGTGTGTGCCTGTGTACACATGGACAAAGGTGTGACTCCTGACAGCATTTGTGGTGCTGGAGGAGTTGGTTGGCTTTCCGTAAGTGTTTGTGTTCTGGGAAGCCCTGCTCCAGGCTGTGCTGGACTGCATGAGCTGACTGCAGGCTGCAGCTTACTGATGTCACATTCAATAAGAGACAGAAAAGACAAGAAAAGAGAGTTGCTGACAAAAACTGACTGCTGACATTCAAAGCCCAGAGGTCGGACGTATTTGCTGCAGAGAGACAGCAGGAGCAGTGAGTCAGCTCTAAGCCAAAGACATTCCCTGTTTCTCACTGCAGACTCTCTACAGTAGCTTGCCCTTAGCTGTAAGCATCTTTGTTATTCTGAAGCTATGGGACAAATTCTGACCAGGGATGTAACGGTGCTCACACAATCTGCCAGTGGCCCCGCTGGGATTACACAAACAGGGAGTGCAGTTGGGAGGCTGTTTCATAATCTGCTGTAAGCATCCACTCTGAAGCAAACCCATCCCTGGACATGCAGTATTCAACAAATTCTAGCCAGTTAAGGCCTGTGAGAGGCTCATTGCCCTCTCTGATGAATGTCTGTGTTGAAGTTTGCAGTCTGCAATGACTGAATAGGAAACGCTACTGCCATCATCTGTAGCTCGTGCTGTTTTCTGTTTGTCTTCTCTTTCCTCTTGTGGGCAGTGGTTCTGTGCACTCTATATGGACCTTGTGACTTTTTGTTTTTCTTTTATACCTGTATGTACACCACGCTGTGCTCTTTGGGTGACTGAAGGTTGCATCCTGACAGTGCTCTCGTTCCATGGAAAAATACATGGAAAAAATGCACGTGCTGCCTTCAGCTGGTTTGTTCCCAGCTGATTCTTACATATGGCCTTTGCACCTATCCTTAATATTTCTAATGATTTGCACAGAATTGTTTAATTAGTGGTGTGCAAAACTAGGCAAATAACAGAAATAGATGGGCAGAAGCAGTAAGTGACAAAAATGTACACAGTATCGGATGAAAACCCAGCATATGGTTGATTTTGGGAGTGTATCACAATGCATTAATTAAAAAATCAATTGAAAAGACCGTGGGATTTCCATTATGCACCGACCTATTTTAGCCAGACAATAGCGCAGTGGAACACTAAACAACACTGTCTGATGTCTTTAAAGATTCTTACAGAGCAAATATAGATTTTGTCTGCGGTGAGAGAATCTGAGCTAATATAGCCTGGACTGTGATGCCATGAAACTGTTCCAGGATGTCTTGGGATCCTCAGCCCAGAAGGCGGACAATACAAAAGGCTAATTGGCCGTTTCCATGGTCATTTTCTCTCTGCAGGCAGGTAAAAGCAGCAAACCCAAGCATGGCAAAGGCAAAAGCTCCGAAAAGAAAATGAAGAAGGTGGTGAAGGACGTCGATATCCTCAGCTCAGCTGCCATGCTCAATGCCCATTACATCTGCCATAATGTCCCTGCCTGCCTAGAGTTGCGGGGCTTTTCTTGGCCTGGCTCCCCCAAAAAGAAGGGGAAGAGACGAAAGTAGCTGGCTGGAAAGCAAAGGATGTGATGAAAGCCAAGCTCCCCCTGATAAGAAGAGGCTTCTTTGAACTTTAGACTCATACCAATATCTGCAGTGGTTAGCTCAAATATTTTGCCATAATCACTGTTGTGTCCACACAAAGACACTCTTATTATAGCTCAAGCTTACAGTGACAAATGGCAAGTGACACTGGTGCTGTTGTAATTTCAGCTGTGGCCCTCAGGCCTTAGTTCTGTGTGGAATAAAACACTGAGTCTCAGCAGTTTGAGGGGGTTGTGGTGGGGTTTGTTTTACCCATACCGCTGCTGTTCTTATGCAGATGGAAAGTGCTCCCCAACGTGGGGGTGCCTGCAGTTCTTTCAATCAGTGCTGGTGGAAACTTGAGCTCAGATAGCAGATACCACGCTGAGATCATCAGCATCAAATACTTCTACAGCAGCTCTGAGAGTCACCTGGTGCTCCCTTTCTGGGTCAGAAGAGCTGCACGATGCAGTCTGCATATCTGGGTGATTCACCTCATCCTACATTTGGGCAGGTAAGCAATACTTGAAGCCCCACTGAACGTACTGCCAGTTCTCTTTTGGCTGTAGTGAGATTCTGGAGATCTAGCAGAGATGCTGGCAGTGATGCTGTGTTAAGTTAGAGGCGATGATGAGCCCCCCTACCAGGTCTCTGCTTAAAGTAATCGCTGTTAGTCCGAACATCCTGGCTGGAAACCACAAGATTTATGTTACAGATCAAAGTTGCTTCGCTCCATTTCCTCTGTGTCAGTTTAAGGCAGCCCCTGGTGAAGCAGTACATCAAGTGAGTCTGTGCATCTCTCCCAGATTCTTCCGACTGGAAGGATGCAGTGGGACAAGAGAGGATGTGTCCTGAACTGACACAGGCTGTGAGAGGTGGGAAGGAATACAAAATAGCCAGAACCTCAGAGAAGGAGTTAGGAAAACATAATCTGAAGTAGGCTAGAGTTACTGGAAGAGGAGATGTCCCAGGCCTCTCGAATCTTTGAGCAAAAGTGAGCATGCTCCCTACATCAAGCAGCAGTGTGATGTGCACAGGAAGAACTTCAGCTGGTTTCTCAGAGCTGAACACCTGCAGCTGAGCAGGAAGCCAGCTTGGAGCCATTCCTCCAAAGCCATTTCTGATTGATTTAACTGTGTGTGGAGGTGCTGCACCTTTCTGGCTTCCAGGTAGCTTTGTGTTACAGGCAGCAGAGCTGCCAATTACAACAGGTCTGACACAAACTGATAAACACCTGTACAGCTTTATGCTATTTCTCCAGCGTAACATCTTCCCTCTATGAAGAGATCTTAGCTTGATAAAATCATGGTTTTGTGGCATTGGTTGCAGGCCAACTACTGTCGTGTAGATTACGTGAGCTACTGCAGTGCTCTACTGAATTTGTCATGTACATGCCAAGGAAATTATGGTGGGGACCCTGTTTCCTTGCTGATTAGCCTGCAGTTGGCATGTACTGCTGTATCAGGGATGTGGTTTGCAGTACCACTTTGCTCTGCCACTCATAGATGAGTCTTCCTCAGCACTTATTCGAAGTCTTGCTTCCCCATCAGCCACCAGGAAGTCTCTGGTCACAACATATGTTTGCAACTATTTCCTCCTGTTAACGGTGTTCCAAAGCAAGAGAGGACCAGTTTGCTCTGTGTATTTATAATCTTATGCTGATTGTTAAAAAATGAAGCATTCCCTCTTTGTGTGATATACTTGCTGCACAGAGCATTAAGGGACAGATATTACCAAGCACTGAGGTAGGAACTGCTTGGCGTCACAGGGCTGTTCTCCCACCACTAGCATTTCTCTGCTTCTCATTCAGGGTCAGTTTGCAGGAGGAAAAGCTGAAGAGCAGCACCATCTCCTGCCATAAGAACAACTGGGTGTGGAACAAGTATTTAGGAAAATAATATCCTTCTGGGCAAGTTTCTCTACAATCACCTCTTGCAGCCATCACTGCAGTTTCCTCTGAAGCTGTTATCCAGCCAGCAGGCAGACAGTATGCTGCTCAGAACAGATGTGTGGGCTGATCTGATACAACTGCTGCAGGGAAGCAAAGCCCTTCTTACGTATGAGATAGACTGCAGCTACAACAATTTCAAGTTTTAGTGAGCAAAACTGACTGGAGCAAGTAGTGAAATATCATTAGTTGTTTTCTCTTTAAAAGCCCCAAAATCTGCTTTTGTATGACACATACCAGATGGGGACCAGTGAAGTGCAAAGGATGAAGGCACTGCTTTCAAGAGTGTCTGAGAAACTGCCATTCAGTTCTTTGATAGCAGATGAGAAAGCCCTTCCAGCCATCCCAAACTGCAAAATTAAACACCTTTTTTTCCCCCTTTTTCCCTCTCCCAGACCCTCATCCATCTCAATTTTGCATGTAATTCAGGCTGCCCTGTGGTTAATGAAGACCAGCAGACACCTTGAAATAAGTCTGGATTTTAAAATGGGTTGATTCTCTACTTGAATACGGTGCTTCAAACATCCACCAACTGCTGCTGACTTCTGAGAAACAGTCCAGCTTGAACGGATGCAGCTTCATGGGAGGCTCCACTACTGTATAACAGACATCTCTGTTTCATCACAACGTGTACAAGTTGAGTACTGTAGGAGGCTCTTCTTCCTGCTAGGGTACAGACTTTATAAGCTGAGTTTATGATGAATAAAGCTGATTCTGCTCAAATCCCCAAAGAATCTTTTGAGAGGAATCTGGAAGCTCAAGACCATTTCCTTTATGTCCCTTTGCAAAGGAATTTCCCAGTGCTTTGCCCATCATCTCTTACATTTCCCAGTAGCAGGGTATCCCTTGTCTTGCTGCTATTTAACAGCCATGAACAGTGTGCTGCTGGAGTACATGGAGTGTCCCTTTCGTGTAGGAAATTATGTACCAAAACCAAGCTGTTAAGAATACACCGGATGCTGACCTACATATTTGTGGGTGGAGTACAGGGAGAGAATCAAAAGACTTGTGAGAGTGATGTCTTTTTGTTTAACTCCTGTGTGAACAGCCATTATTCACCACACTTGGTATTAAAATATCCTTCAGCCAACACTCGTGTGTTGCATGGCATTTCCTAATGTGTTATTTTCACATTAAGAAAAGCACTGCAGAGCTTCATGATACTTAAGAAAGGCCTGAGACAAACTCTTTTGTCTCATTTTTCACTTTAGGAAATGCCCTGGATGTTATTTCCCAATTTCAGAGAAGGACAGCTGAGGACTTTTGTGGTCATAAATGTTATCTCCAGAACGAAGAAGTTACCATGACAGATATTTAAAGAAAAAACTTTCATCCAAAATGCACATTAAATGTTGGCACTAAATAGTGCCCACAGACATAAATAAAATTGAGGTTTTTGTGGGTTAACTCCTGTCTCATTTGCCCATTTCCACTGACTTGGTTCCCTACAGCCATCTCACATGTTTCACGAGTATAAAAGAATGTCATCCAACTTCAATGTATTTTTTTCCTCAGCCTCTCACTTTCTGCTTATAAAAAAGGTGTGAGCTTTTTTAACTGTTGTACAAAAGATGGGAAGGACCAAAAAACAAGCACTCACAGCAGTGGTTGCTCTCTCAGATGTGCAGGTATTGAAGCTTTCCATTCCAGATGCTGGGGCTTGTTGCATTTAGTGTGTTACCCAGTTACTGGTGGTTTTCTGGAGCTATTCAGTGAATTTGGGAGTCCAAGCCATCTTCTTGTTGCAATTGGCACTGAAAAAGAGAAACGTTTAAGAAAAATGAGGAAAAAGCTTAGTGTAACCTGGTGTCTTCCTTGGGATGGCCATGACTGTCTGTCATGAATGGAGCAGTTTGCTCTTTGGTGAAAATGCTTGGACCAAGTGCTTTAAAAGTTCATCAGTAATCACTGTTGAATGTTAGAATATTTATAAGAGCTGAAACAAAAAGCAATAGGACAAGCAGTCCTGTGAGCTAAAAGGAAGCCCCTCATTAATGCTTTAATGCAGGACAACCAATGTAACTGGATTATGTGAAGAAAGCCAAAATGTTAGATACTACTTAGTGGAAGTTGAAGAAAAAAACCCCAAACATTTAACCTCAGGAAAACCTTTTTTTTCTCTCAGGGTGATTCCAATGGGTCGTACATCTCTTGGGAAGCCTTTTTTTTGTGTCACTCAGTAAGGTTCCTGTTCTGCAAAGTACCAGGATAACCAGCTGGTGAAGATTCCCTCCACGCACCCTGAGATGACATTTCATCTTCACATTCATGGCAAACTGCTCATTTGTTGGACTGCAATGTTTGCAAAATAAATCTGCTCGTGGACCAAGCCACGATGCTACATAATGAAGCACTCGCTCATTGAATGCATGGTTACAAAAGCTTGGATTGCTCACTGCATTCCAGGAACGATCTGGCTCCCTCCCTGCTTACACAAAAATGTGAGAGCTTCTGCGGGTTTCTTCCAACTGCAGTTCAGAATGTTACGTAGGTTGGCTGGTCTTCTTGAAATTGTAATGCTTACCTATGGAGAGAATTCCTTTCCTATGTCATTTGCTTGTGAGGATTCTGGTAGTTTCCCATCCTTGCTTCACAAGGGCTTGATAAAGAGAGGCATGGTTGGTTTAAAGCTTCTGATGTGACTTGCAGGAACGGAAGAAAATGAAATGACTTCTGAAATTATGAAATTACTATTTCTTTTAATATTGTTGATAGCATTGCCTCCTCTCGTGATCTTAATTCTGTGTAATCTCACCCTGTGCTTCTGTTCTTCAGGATAAGCAATGCTCAAGCAGACATCTTCTTTTTGGGCATATTGCAGCTTTATTAGCACGAGGCTCTGCCTTAATCCAATAACTATCGAGCTTGCTCAGCTCATCTGAATGGTGTGATCTGAAGGGGTGTCCTTGAAAGCAACAGCCCTTCTGTCACCTGTTGTGTTGGCTCCTGAGATAACTTATCAAGAAACCTTGGCACCTTTTGAAGACAGACACCTTGGGAGTACCTGTTAATTACACTGTGCCCTCGGAACATGTCCAAGGAGTAGCTCTGTTTTCTCCTAAGTGCAGATGCTTTGATTCCTCACACTTGTTACATCTCCTTTCCTCTAACATTCCTTCATTTCAGCTTTCGGTTAAGAAAGTGCAAAGTGCATTCTTTTTTTTTATTTTTATTTTGCTTTTCATTCCTAAGTCCCATTTTTGAAACCTGCTATTCTTGTTGTTTTGGTCTGTTTTTTACCTTTGTTGAAGGTAACAATTCGCACTTCTGACGTGCACTTTTTCTCCTCCCATGTTGCTAAATGGGAGAGCCATAAAACTGAGGCTCGTGGCATTGATCTCCTATAAATCTACGCATCTGCGTCTATGCTTGGACTAGTTGTGTAGATTCTTCAGTTAACTAAAGTTTAGTTTAGTTTACTAAAAGGATGTGATTATTCTGACATACAAATGGGTATCAGAAAGCTCAGAAACTCCTGTGACTCCAGTGTCCTGGATGAAGAGGATAAAATCATGCGAGAGATTCTCTGTCTAATCTTCCATTAGAAGAAACTCACCCAGCCTGCTCCTTTTGGGCATCCTTGTTCAGATGATCCCTCCCCATTTCAGGACAGCAGTGTCTCAGATGCAGAGCTGAACACAGCTCGACAGCCCCTTGGAGAGGAAACACAGTGGTCTTGAGCTTATCTCTCCTGCACAGTTGTAAACTCAGCCCTGTTCACTCTCACTAATAATAGAGAAGTGTAATTGTGTGCAGACAGCTAGCCCAGCCAAGGGGAAATCGCCCTGTATTTAAAAATAAGCTTAGGGCAGAATGTGAGGATGGGAGAGAAAAGAATTCCTGCCAACAGAGTTCCTACAGCATTTCTTCTTTCTTTAGTGTCTCTGTCTCTCCAGTAAATATTTTGGCTGTAAGATCTACTGCAGTTTGGTGCTGAACGGCAAGGAAAAGGCACTGAAAGGCCTAAGTGTGTTCTTCCATGCCATTCTCCAGGTAGTTGTTACTATTACTGCTGTTTCATGGAGATCAGAGAATCACACTCATCTGGGTACTGGCAGAACAAAAAATTAATCACTAATTATAAGAAGAAGTGAAGTGAAAAGGCTGGTTGACACAGGGCAAAACCAAAAGCCAGACTGGTTACTGGATGCTGCAAGAGAGGAACCATGACTGTAAAGCTGTTGTCCCCAAGAGCAGCCGTGTATCAGTCGTACTGCTGCACATTCAGACCCCATTTTGTTGTGGAATCATCACCAAAACAGTGGTTTCAGCCCCAGTCCAGGCTGCTCCTTTATCTTTACACCATGCTGGAGGACTGAGGGTAAAGGTCAGGCTCTGGGTGATGCTGCAAGAATCCTCCATCCAACAGCAGCAGCTCTGCAGAATTACTGGATTTTGGTGACAGCACAAATCATAACACATTTTAATTGCAGAAATTCTCCTCAAATCCTGACTCAACTTTGGTCTAATCTGGTTCCAGAGGAGCTGCAGCAACCAGAACCCAATCAAGACTACTTCTAACAAACTCACTGCGCTATCAACATTCTCCCTAGAGTAATGTAAACCAAGTCTGGCTCTTTATGTGCCCTGCAAATCAATTGTATTGCACATTACTGGACAATAACTGTTGCCAAGATTTGTGTTAAAGGAAAGTAATGGATGCTTTTTTTTTTTTAAATCTGGGAATAGATGTGTCTGTACTATTCCCCTTCTGATTGGACTGTGAATGTTTAAGAACTGCTCAGTTTCTTCTGCTCAATCATCACCTCCCTCATCCCCTTATGGGAACATAATCTTTCTTTGCGACCCCTAAAAGTCCACAGAACTTTTTCTCACTTGCAAACCTTCTGATTGTGACACAGCTGCACTCCCACAGCCATACTCTGCATTACTGGAGGCTGCTGTTTGGTTTATATTTGTGCAATGGCTACTCTGACACATTATCCCTTCCACATTCTCTTTCCAGGCCAAAGATGTGGACATCTGAGCTTTTCTGGACCCACTCTGTTACCAGAACTCACCTTTTCCACCATGCATTGTTTGCCTTTGCCCAGCTAATCTCCTCCCTGTCCTTTTCGTGGATTTGTCCTATCCTAACGAACCCTGGCACTCCCACAGCTGTGCAACCTATGTTCCCTACCCTTCTGTTGACAAAACATCCATCTGAACTCACAGTTAGCCTTTTGGCACCTCTTTTCCCATAGGAGTGTGACAGAAGGGCGGCAGCGAGAGCCTGGGGAAATGCACTGTCGTTCAATTCTGTATAAAGAGTTAGATTGTTTACTCTGAGAAATTCTGCCTCTTGAGGACTAGTCTGGTGCATTCCAAATGAATGTCCATGCCCCTCCCCATTGAGAGGCTTGAGTCCAATCTGCAGCCTTCAGATAAGAACTCTTTGAGAGGGGGGAGGAAAAAAAAAGGGCATGTGTTAGGCCCAGCCCAAGCCATTGCCTTGTAAACATGTGCTTTCAACAGCTCATGGCTTCATCTGCCTATTCCAAACCAATTAGTGACACGTGGCTGAAAAATGCAGTTGGATGGGACCTTGTGTCAGCCATCCCTCTCCCTGAGGCACGTACAACTCTACCTGCAGCATTCCTGAGCAGTATTTGCCTAACCTGTCTTTAAAACCTCCGCTGCGGGAGATTCCAGAGCCTCCTGAAGCTACTGCAGTGTTATCACATCCTGCCGCTATGAAAAGATCTTGGTGGCTCACGTGAGTCTGCCCTCCCTGCGATGTAACAGCAAGCGACCTTCATCCCGTGGAGGTTTGGGTTATACCACGGGTGGCACAGACCCAACTCTTTGTGTCCGTGGCCTTGTTCCAAAGCTGCTGATTAGCACAAGGGAATTCCACAGCTATTAGTCCACATCAGCTGCTTCCACACGTCTGAATGTGCTGGCAGAGCTTCCAGGAGCAGCAAACCCCACCAGGGGTGTGGGAATCAAATGTTGTTTCTGCTTTAGAATTGGATAATATTTTTTTTGTTATTTCATGATCTCCGCTATCATAGTTCTTTTTGGGAGTCCTTTTACTTCACCTGGGGAAGATCTCTGATAGTTTACATCACTGATCCTCGAGACGAACCTTCCCAGGCACGCACACTCTGTATCTAGGTGTACAGATGTATATTTTGTCATACACACTGCAAGAATGTCCTGCACGAGAGCAAACCAGAGAACAAGTGATGGCCTGCCTGAGGAAGTGCCTGAAGAGACATCGGAAGGCCTGGCATCATCCCCCCCCAGTGCTCTTTAATGACTTTAAAGAAAATCACCATATCAATACAAGGAAAGCACCGACACATCTTGGAAACAACAGGATGGCTGCTGCCTGACACCAGATAACAAATAAATTAACAAGTAAATAGCAAATGTAAACCTTCTGATAACATTGTGAACCTGGAGTACCCAGCCAGTGGGGAAACGGGGGAGGGGAGGAGGCAAGGGGGAGAAAACAGGGTCTAAAGGCTGTCACGATGTGCCTGTAGGTGCGCTCCTGCTTGCGGGACGCTGCCATTGCAATCGCAAATAAAATCTGCTTTTATCAGAGATACCGTCCTGACAAACATTACTTGGATATTTCCAACAGGGGCAACTGACATAAGTCACCATTTGGCCCAGATCCACACTTGAACTCACAGAAGACCAGTAACAGAAACCTAGAGCATCTCAGAGTCCCTGAGTCTATGGGCTGAGATGACATTCGTGCAAAAAGCAGAGGTGTCTTTTTTTTTTCCACGACATGCTGTGAGAGTGAAGAAATGCAGGGGCACTGCAGAGGCAACAAATGGAGTGTGACTCTGCAGAGTGGACATTCGATCCTGAGCTGACCTGACACGCATGCCAATCGACTCGGCTGGCTCTGCAGTTCTTCTTACCACACTTCCCATATTCTTCCATCTTCAGATGGATGCTGTGTGGTCACAAGCACCTGCCCCAGGAAGCCATTTACAGCTTTATTCCATTTGTTAACAGAAAAAAATGGATGGCTGTTTCATTCCATCAGTGGGATGGAAGTTATTCCTACATTTATCAGTTCATAAAATGCACAGAGGGCTGACAGATGGTCAGCATGTTAAGATGCCTCCCATTTCACAGAGACTAGCACTGGATATTAGGAAAGATGTCTTCTCATAGAGTGGTCAGGCACTGGACTGGGTACCTAGTGGGGTCACTGTCCTTGGAGGTGTTCAATAATGTGGAGATGCAGCACTGAGGGATGTGGTTCAACGGGCACAGTGGGGATGAGCCGGGGTTGGACTTGGTGATGTCAGAGGTCTTTTCCAACCTGAATGTTTCTATGATTCTAAGGGAAGTTGTAAACCACCAGGAGTGGATATTAGGATAACAACGTTTGTATAACTCTGATATACCCATGGAAGAGGTTCCTACCAGGCACAGATGGCAGCTTGGTGTCCTGAAATTTAAAAAATAAGAAATAAATATAATATATATATATATATACACACACACATTTTATGCCAACAAAAAATAAAACTCTGATTACTATAATTAAAAGCAACTGAATACTTCACCTGGCAGATCTCCAGCAGAGTGCCTAACATATACTTTAAGGAATATTCCTGAAAATATGTTTGTTTTCCAGCTGCAAACAAGCTCCTGTTAACCTCCCTCTTCACACCCATCCTTTAGCCATGAGGAAAACACCTCAAACCTGACAGCTTCAGTCTGAAATCCCTTCTTAAAATCCCTCCTCTTAATAAGAATTAGACCTATTTTTAATTTCCTCCCCCTCCTTTCCTCTGTATTTCAAATCCTCCTCCCTTACACTTCCCATTGGAAGCACCCATCCCCACCATGCTTTAGATGTGAGGAAAACACCTCATGCTTGATGTCTTCATTGCATTTAAGTGATCCTTCCTTAAAATTCTTCCTGTAAAACGGATTTATACCTATTTTTATTATTTCCTCACCTCCTTTTTCCTCTGTATTTCAAATCCTCCTCCCTTACACTGCCAATTGGAAGAACCCATCCACAGCATCCTTTAGATGTGAGGAAAACACTTCATACTTGACATCTTCATTGCATTTAAGTGATCCTTTCTTAAAGCCCCTCCTATAAAACAGATTTATCCCTATTTTTGTTATTTCCTTTGCCTCCTCCCTCTGTTTTTCAGACTCTCCTCCCTCCTCGCACCCATCCTTTAGATGTGAAGAAAACATCCCATCCTGACAGCCTCATTCCGAACTCCCTCCTTAAAATCCTTCCTACTGATCAGAATTAGCCCTACTTTTATTATTTCCCTCACCACCTTGAATCACTTCAAATCACTTAGATCGCTCATCCTTCAGCTCACCACTGGAAGCCCTCAGATGTCCCCTGTCACAAAACCACGCCCTCCCCAAGATGGCGCCTCCCGCTCCTCACCCTTCAGCCCTCCCCAAGATGGCGCCGCCGCCACCGCCCCCTCCCCAAGATGGCGCCTCCTCAATCCCCATTACCCCCACACCGCCCTCCCCAAGATGGCGGCCCTCACGCGGCCCTCTCCCTCCCCATCATGGCGGCGGCGCCGCGCTATGACGCCATACGTCCTCCTCCCCCCCC